TTTAGAACACCACGGAAGAGTTAAAGCACTTACACAGAGAAGCGGACATCATCAGACCTGGTTCACTGGGGGAACGTGGCTGTTGGGGTGGAAATCCCCAAATAAAATCAGCCCAGACTTGGTCTCACGCTGGTTTTCTCCAAGGTAGTAACTGCTTTCTCTGGACAAGCCTCAGTTTCCACGCTTGGGTGGCAGCATGTGCTGCAGGGGCTGTGGCTGGTCCTAGTTGTGCGAATGCCTCAATCCTCACAACCTGATTTGTCTGAAAAATCAGCAGGGCCGACAACAGAAGCAAAGTCTTCTCAAAGCCATCTCAAGTGCAGTATGGCCAGGCTTCTCTTCTTGTGTATTGGCACCTGCAGGTTCTCGGAGAATGAAGGCCAACCTGACTACAGAGCATCTGACCTGGAACGGCTCTTAGTCCTCATCTCAGCCATTGTCTCCATTTACAGAAGCCGAAGATGAGGATCGGGGAGAGCACATGACATCCCCAAGGGCACACATCCCCACCAGTGGCAGAGCCAGGACTAGATCCAGTCCTCCTGTCTCCCGGTTCTAGGGTTCTCTCTACAAAACTTTGTTGCCTTGCCGGGTGCCTACCTTGAACCAGGTTACCCACAGTGAAAAAGACACATGGGGTCCCTGCCCACAAGCAGCCTCTAGTCTAGTGGGTGGGACAGTCAAAAATAATTCAGGGGCTTGCCTGGTGGTGTAGCGGTTAAGTGCGTGCACTCTGCTTCGGCGGCCTGAGATTTGCAGGTTTGGATCCCAGACAAGGACCTACACACCACTCATCAAGCCATGCTGTGGCGGCATCCCATATAAAGTAGAAGAAGATGGGCACAGATGTTAGCTCAGGGGCAATCTTCCTCAAGGAAAAAGAGGAGGATTGGCAACGGATGTTAGCTCAGGGCCAATGTTCCTCATCAAAAATAATAATAATAGTAATAATTCAACATAAGCATGCAGTTGAAAGTATGCAAGTTGCATGAGTGCTTTGATCAAGGGTCAGAAATAGATAAGGGGATGTTTCTAATTTATCTGTGGTGGTCAAGGAAGGGTTCTCTGAGGAGGTAACATTTCTGCAAAACCTGACGTATGTGGAGAGCATGTCAGGCCAAGGAATCCACATATGCAAAGTCCCCCAACGGGAGGAAAAGGAGCTTGGCATGTCTGCCTGTCTGGAAGATGGCGGCAGGAGGCAGTGGTGAGTTTGGAGACAGAAGCAGGGATTTCGCAGTGCTTCATGGGCCGTAGTGGGCAGTTTGGATGGCATTTTAAGTGCCCTGCGACACAACCAGATGCATGTTTTAAGAAGACTACTTGGGCAGCAGTGTGGTGCTGGGCGGAAGGAGCAGGATGGAAATGGGAGCAGGGGGACCCATTAGGAGGTCCCTGCAGCAGTCAAGCTGAGAGGGAATGGTGGCTCAGCCTAGGGCAGTGGTGGAGGAGGTGGTGGGAAGAGGGCGGATTTGAGATCTATTTTGGAGATAGTTTTGCAGATGGATAGATGGGCTGGGGCGAGAAGGAGAGGGAGGCAGCAAGGGTGACTCGGAGTTTCCAGCTTGAGTAACACTCATCGCCCAGTGCGGCAGCGCTGTGTGCATTCTCTAGGGAAGACACTTCAGCGCTTTACCAAAGTCCAGCCTCCATCTCAGCTTCCTCCTGGCTAATAATATCCTCTCGGTTCAGTAAGAGTCAGTATCCGGCCTGTTCAGCAGGTAGAGAAACTGAGGCATGCATTGGCAAAACAAACAGCTCCTTAGGCAAGCAACTGTAGGAACTAGACAAAGAGCCAGAGCTGAACCCAGGGGCAGCCTCTGGGCAGCAGAATCCTAAAGTCCAGGTGTTGTATCCAGTTTTACAATTTATCAAGCTGTGTGACCTTGAGCAAGTTATAAGACTTCTCTGAGCCCCAGTTTCCTCATCAGTAAAATGGGGAAAGTAATAGGATCCTACCTCATGGTGTGGTTGCAAGGATTAAGTGAAGGAGTAGACCATCAACAGGTATTAGTTATTATTATTTCTAGTTCACACGGCTCATCCCTGCCTCCACCTCTCTATACCTGTGCATGCAGACCTTCTGTATGTGTGCACACTCGTACAGAAGCTGCCCGTGTGCCTGTCACAGCTGATGACCAGGTGCCACTAAAGTTTCAAGTTAAGACAGCGTGGATTTTCTCCCTGTGCTCCTGTTTAGCCTTCTGAGCCATGCTCGGTGGTTAAGGCAGGAACTTTCATCCTCTCTGGAACAAGAGTGAGCTGTGGGTTTGGAGGCAGATGTGAAAGGAGCCTGTAAGCCAGCCTGTTTCCAAGTTCTCTGACCGACCTGACCCAGGAAGGGGGGGGGGAGGGGGAGAGGAGGAGGGTGAGTAAGAGGGAGGGGGCGAAGAGTGCCTAGGAAGGAACCACATCCCAAAAGGAAACACACAATAACAGATCTAGTGTCTGGCCCGCCCAGAGCCCCTTTTGTGGGTGGCTTTGGGAGCCTCCCCTATCCCCCTCTTGCCACCCCACCCCTCTGAGACTCTTTTCTGTTCCTGTTCCCAGGAGGCAGCTGCCGCAGGGGCTGAGAACAGGGAGGTGAGGCTGGAGGGTCAGTGGGGCAGGGCTTCCCACTTTTTGCCCCGAGCCATTCCGAAGGGCGTGTCCCAACAGGGCGCGCGCACACGCGCGCACACACACACACACACACACACACACAGTGATTAAGGGGGAGGGAGGAACGACATTCACTGTCCACTGCGGGACCCAGCCGGTGGGCTGGATGGTGGCCAGCTCTCCCCCCCGGCTCCTGGCTGCAATATCGTCAGCCCTGGCACCATTCACTGGCCTACTCAAACACTCCTTCAGGTCCAGGGGCTGGAGCCGTGCTAGGAGGGGCCGCCTGGGAGCAGGCTGGGCTGGGCACCGCAACTCTCCTCCACCCCTCCCCGCAGCCTCCCTCCTCCACCATCCCCTCTGCCCACATCCAGCTCCAGCTGGGTTTGAAAGAGGTGCTCTAATCCTCCCTCCCTCCAAAGCAGGCCCTGCCCTGCACTCTCTCCTTTCAGCCAGAAGCTGCACTGGTAAACTGGTTCTACCCCGTAGACCCCACCCCGATGTTTTACCTACTGGGAGAACCCTCTGAACCAGATCTGCTGCCCGCTCCTGCAGCCTTCCCAATCCCCACCCGACATGCCCTCCTGCTCACAGCAGCTCAAAGTTCCAGGCCTGCCTAGCCCACCTCCTGGAGCCCTCCCCCAGGAGCCCTGTCTTCATGACTGCTCTTGGCTCTTGTCTGCTCTGCAGAATTAGCACCCTGTTCTTTAATGGACCCCACACGGTACTGTATGTACTATGCTCCATGCTGTCAGCCTCTTGTGCCTTATCTCCCCACAAGATGTGAGGCTCTGAGGGTGGCACCCCACTGCACCCACTCCACCCCACCTCCACCCCATTGAGGCAAACCCCTCATGGGTGCACAAACACTTCTGGATTGATACTGCTTCCATCCAGGTCATGTGTTGGCACCTTTACCTACCGGGTCTGGGAGTGGAGTGTGGAGTTACGCTTGATTGGATATTTAATTAGTGACTTTGTGGACAAAGGGATTTGGCTTTTCATTCTTTGGCTTGGCTGTTCCGGGAGTACGTGGTTTTGATAAAAAGCTATGGAGTCATCCAATCTTGGAAGCTGTCCACCTGCCCTGATTAAGCGCCTCCCCTTCTCACCCTCAGTGCCTGATTCCCTGATTTGGCGCCCCCTCCCCACCCCACCCCACCCCACTCCTCCCTGGCTCCAAACCTCTCTGTCCCCTCACACTGCCATCCATGGCCCTCCCACCACAGCAAGGAGGGTCTGACAAACCCATTCTAGCCCCTTGTAGAGACTCCTGCCCCCCGCCCTTGGGTTTTAGAACCACAGGGAGAGACCCTTCCTGCCTTCCTAAAGCAGTTTTGCCCGCCTGGCACGGGCTCTCTGCAGGGCGTGCCCCACGAAGGAATGAATCACTAACACTGGGATTTCAGGCAAGGGGCACCTGTTGGAGGAGATATTTTAGTCTGAACCATCTTCCCCGGGGTTCTGCAAATCACAGCCCCGTCCTTGGCCTTCATGAACTGATGGATCTTTGGGATTTACCTTCAGCTTTGGGGTGCTTTAAGGCTCATGGTCTGTCCCTGGAAGAGTGGCAGAGGCTGCACAGGGCCAGGCTTCTCATTGGTCTCATTTGCTTTCTGCTGATTCTCTGTGGCACATGGGGCAGCCGGTCACCAGGGAAGAAGTACTCTTCCTGGTGTACTCCCCCATTTATGAGAACAGACAGCCTAGGTACCAAGGAGTTAATGACAGTTTCCTCCAGGTGAAGGGCAATTCCAGAAGAAAGAGGGCCTTCAGACAGCAGTCAGAGTCTCCTGGCTGGCAGTTCTTACAAAGGGCGTGGTGTGTGGTTTTAAGGAACAGCTTGAGAGAGGGTGCTCCTGCCACACCTCTCCGTGATTGGTGGTTGGCCCACCCCAAATGTGGACTGTTGGATCTCCGGTTGGCATTTCTGAGTCAGTGTTAGAAGGGAGACAAAGCAAAGGAGAAACCGTATGATGTGTGTGTTTTTGTTGGGGGAGGAGCCTCCCTGGGTGCCCCCACCTCAGGCCTCAGGACTCCACCTGGGCCAGGCCAAGCTGGGCGCCCAAACGGGTGGAGGGAGCTGCAGTTCTGGGCTTCCTTCCTGCACTTGCCTCTCTTTATTCTCCACTCCAATGCTTGCGGTGTGCAGTGTTTGATTTGGTTAAGTTACACTCACGACCCTTTAAGGCGAAAACATATCATTCTAGTAATTTTATCGGGCTCAGGTTGCAGGCAAATGGAAATAAAATTACCTCTAAAAATAAAAGACACGCAGAATTGAATAAAACAATAAAAAGCCGCCCCCGACTTGAGATAAGTGGTAAGGCATTTTGTGAAATATTAGAGAGAAAAAAATAAACAAATGGAGAGGCCCAGGAGAAAAGGGGGGGGGGAAATCCTCCACCACTCTTACTTTCGTTTCTGCTTTACCTGTACGAAAGAGCTTGATTTGCGTGTTATAAAGTGAGGCAGAAAGCGCGACTGGTGAAATTGGTCCTTCTCCCGCGCTTAACAGTACAGGTGGACGAAAGGGGCCGCCTGCCAAATACTTCTGGTTGGAGGGAGGGGTGGGAGTGCTCTGTCAAAACCACTCCTGGAATGGCTTAACTCGCCCAGCACGAATCAATGACAACCTCCCGCCGGCTGCGGCAGGCTCCCCTGAGCAGCGCTGCCGCGTGGATTCCCAGCCCGGGACCCTGGCGGCGCTCAGGACACGGCCCGGGCACGAGCGCGGCGTCCCCGGGGCGGCCAGGTAGGTCTGCGGCGGCCTCGGCCCCGGGCGGGGTGTGATCGGGGCTCAGGGGAACCAGGCGGCCGGGCAGTGGAGAGAGGGGGTGGGGAGCAAGCTCCTGGGCGTCGGGGAGAGCTCGCGGGCGCCCGGCCGCTACGTCCTCCACCCCGGGCGCTGCGGGCATTCCCGCCGGGCGCAGCGGGGACCCTCTGGCCCCAGGTGGCAGCTCCGACTGCGTTCGCCAGGCGTGCGTGGCGGCGTCTACAGGAAATTTCAAACCCCCGTCGGGGCTGGAGCCGAGCGTGCTGGGGAAACCCGGGACGGAGCCCCTGAGCTAATGGAGGGGCGCGCGGCCCCGCGTACCTCCCAGCGAAATGCAAGAAAGAATCTGGAACTCTGAATAAAGCAACCCTCCTCGCTTTCTCGCTGCCGGCGGCCCTCGCAGGCAGGTTTTTGGGGTGGAGGAAAGGGGACAGCGAAGAATGTGAGGGGCACTCCGGAAGCTAGTTGCGGATATATATTGTTAAGTTGCTCGCCCCTAAAAAAGCTTAGTCCTCCCCTGTGTCAGATGCAAAACTTGGGGAGAAAACAAAAGCCATGGCAACTCCTGGCAGAAGTCTAGGTCCGGACAGGGGCAGAAATTCAAGGGGGATTGCAGAAGTCGCTGGGCGAGCTGGAGGGTATTCCCGTCGGGGTCCCCGGGCTGAGCTGGGTGGGTGGGGGACCCTTCCCTGCTCTCCATCCTGGGCGTGGGTGGGCGGGGACAACTCCCTCCCGGGCGGTGGAGTCAGGCTAGGGTCTCCGAGCTCCAGAGGTGGCCCGCTGGGGGTGGGGCAAAACCGGCTCCGAGCGCCCTCACCCCCGTAGGCGCCCGGGCCCGCGTTACCCTCCCGAGCGCCCGGTTCCCTGCAGGCGGCCGCAGCGGCGGCGGGGCTAGCCTGGGAAGAACTCTGGAAAGGGATCGCACTCCCTCACACACCCCCGCGCCAGGCTCGAGTGCCGGGTGCAGTTTTCTTCGTGCCTGTGGTGAGGGCTCCGAGGGGCGTCCGGTTCGGTTGTTCCAGTTTCTGGCTTCTGTTGTCCCGGCTGTGGGAGATTGGGCAGGAGACGAACGGCTGCCTTCTTTCTTTAACCCCTGGTACCGAGCTCTGCCCGGGATGCAGCCCCATTCCCGCGGTTCGGCTGACTGGTGGCATACCCTTTACAATCTCTCTAAACGCAGAATTTTGAAAATGTAAAGGAAGTGGTTGAAACAATCAGGCCGTTTTCTCCGGGTTCGATAGAAGATTTTGTGGAAGGAACGGAGGGAAAAGGGCCAAAGCCCTGCCAAGTTCAAGTTTCAACTCCATTCCTCCCTCCCCATGCCTTCAGGGGATTAAGTCCTCAGGGGGGGATTAGAAAGGCTCAGGAACCTCCTCTGGATAGATCCCCAGGAAGGACAGTAGCCTGTGTGCCACCCCCTCCCCTTAAGACCCAACCTGGGCTGAAAGGGGAAAGAAACCCACCTTCCCAAATAGACTTGGGTCAGCCTGTGTTCAGTCTCTCTCTGGGCGTGGTGTGTGGTACTGTTTCCTAAACTCCCAAACTACCACACTGAGGACCACGCAAGGGCAGCCACCACTGCCCTCATCATCTCCATTTTACAGGTGAGGGATCGAGGCCCAGGGGTCCGGGTGAGTCCAGTGCTCCTTGCACAGAACCATGGGCACCAATGCAGTACGGTCCCTGAGGCCACCAGCTTGGGTTCCAGAACTTCATGAATTTTGGTAGATTTGGATCCTACCCAGCACCTTCTGAGCCCTGTGAGGAGATGCAGAGAGGACCAAGCCTGAGCCACCCCCGAGGGGGATCCAGCCCAGATAGATGAGGCTTGAGCAGAATAAGCAAAACGTAGGTAGCAAGGAGGACATCCCTGACAGACTGCTGGGAGAGCCACTTTGGAATCTGAGAACAGGCAGTTTGGCAGCCAGAGAGGTCAAGGGAGGCTTCAAGTAGGAGGTGGCATTGGGGCACCATTGACGGAGAGAGACCAAAAGAACAAAGGCCTGCAGGTTGTAGAACTTGAGGCTTATCCTGGCGTGTCAGTGCTGGGAGATAAACCAGAGAGGGGAGGGGCAGGGAGGAAAGGGATGGGACATTCTCAGAGGCCGCGCTTGGCATGCGTTATCTCCTCTAATCCACATAACCTGCCAGATATGGATCATTAGCCTCACTTGGCAGATGAGGAAACTGAGGCTTAAAGGGGTTAAGTAAGTTGCCCAGCTCATTAGTGACAGAGCCAGGAATCAAAGCCACCCATTATACCATACATCTTTTAGAATCTTAGACCTTAGTTGGGGACACTGGAATTACCCTGGTATAATTATAGTATGACACAAAATAGTATGTAAGTGTTACACACAGTATTAGCCTTTTTGAACCTCAGTTTCTTTCCATTCATTCGATCAATCACTCATTTGTTCTACGACTATTGTGTTGTCTAATGTGTGCTTCCAGGCACCGTGCTAAGGGCCGGGCCTACATCCATAAGTGAAGTCCAACTTGGTCCCTGGCCTCTGTCAATGGGCATGGTATTAGTAATAGCACACCCCTCAGTGGGTATTGAGTGGATGAAATGAGACAATACGTGGGAAGATGCTACAGAAGCATTGCCATGAATCAGGAGAAGCAGCAGGAGGCCTGGGAGAGGTGGGAAGTTGGAAGGATGAGTTGTCCCCATACTGCAGTCACAAGGACTCGTCCCTAGCTCAAGGGGGCGCTGTGGAGTGCACACAGTGCCCATGAAGCTCTTTGAGGCCCTGCTGTTCAGATTATTGGTTTATGATTGTGGCATCTCAGATGAGCCTTTAGTTTTGGCACATCCCAGCTGGAGATGACAAGAGCCCCGTGCAGCCTCCAAGAGGACTGGCCTCTCTCTGGAGCAGTGCCAGCTGGGCAGAGAACTGCCCCAGTACATCACTCTCCTGATGCATCAGCTGTGTTCCTTCAGTGGTGAGGGTGGCACTTCCCATACTCACCAGGCTGGAGCTGCTGCTCCAGGCCCCTCATCCTACCACTGGGGAAGCTTGTCCATGGTCACAGGGCTTGGTAGCAAAGCCAGTACTAGAAGCCAGGTCTCCTGGCAGTCCATAGTTCTCAGAGCAGCTCACACTGGCCTGCTAGGGCATTTCAGGGCTCAACTGAAAAGACCATGCTCCATCCATTTATATCTCTACTTACAATGCCATGTCCTCATGCTCCTGTCCATCTACGTTTTAGCTGACCTAACATATCCGTCCTAATAAAATGGTGTCAGATGGATCTTTGAGACGGAGCAGCCATAAATGTTCTGGAACATTTGGCTTGTTAACTCTCCTTCCATCTTGAGGTGTGTAATAGGTGTGAGATAACTACCTCTAAAATTAACTATCACTTTTGGGAGGAAGGTGAACTGATAAATCTTGCCTTGAAGCTAAGCCCATCTCAGTGATGCTCTGGGGCCTTCCTTCTCTAGAACTGACACCAACTCTTGGAGGGGAGGACAGTTTTTCCTTCTTCTTCCTTTAAAAAAAAAAAAAAGCCTCCTGGGTTTGAAGTCACAAGATCATATTGCATTTTGTTTTGATGTCGTGTTGCCAGAATAAAGATATTTTTCTCCTAATATTGAGATTATCAGTTGATAAGAGCGGTGAGCACCCGGCTGGACCGTGTTTACAGCAATTACACAGGTGTATAATTGCATGGGGATGTTTGTTTGCTCAGCTCTTGCTCAGCCGTGCAGCCCTACAGGTTGGGCCAGGGAGAGAGCTGTTCAGTTTATTTTCCTTTGGCTGGGAACCTCGGAGATGAATAGAGGGAGGGGAATCTGGGGTTGAGAGATTGTTGCCAAGAGCAATTTGGAGTCTCCTTCATATTAGTCAGAGATTGTGTTTTTCCTTTCTGAAGCCGCCCGCCTCACAGTAACTTCCACGAAGGATTTTTTCCATCTGTGTATGTGTGTATGTGCAAGCACTTGTTAATTTTTGTTTTAATTTTTAACTTGCTGGACTTCTCATGACTTAGCAGAAAAGAAAAAAAAAAATAGCTTGGAGAATGGAGTGATGAAATGGGCCTTTATCCCATACATTCTGCATGGCATTGCTTAATAAATTTGAATACTGATAGACCCTGAGGTACCATGATGGAGTGAGATGAGTAATTCCTTTGTAGGGAGAGTTAATCTTCAGTGGATGACTTTCAAAATTGCAGCGTAATTTAACTTTTCCTCTGTAGATCTCGAGGCTGTGTTTAAAAAAAGAGGAATGTGTACTCTCTTCTGTTGAACTCCCTTTTGTTCCATTCGGAAGGCCCCCTCTGTCAGGGCCTTGCTTGGAAGGGGACCAGCCAGAGTGGGCCTCCTTGTCTTTCATCATCACCCCTACACCCCCACCACCATGCAGGAAGCCAGCTAGTGAGAAGGAAGCTTCCCCCGGTGGGGGAAGAGCTGTTCCCCAATGCTGGCCTGGCTCATGTCCGCGTGGAGCGCAGAATAGCAAAGCTTGCATGACTGAAGCCTGCCCCACCTAGGGCAGGAACCTGGGGCGGGATATTCTTCATCTTTTAAGAAGTGAGTCCATCCTCTAAACAAATTGAGTGGAGCAACACCAAGGCTCCAAACTGGAAAAATTGCCTATAATAGAGTACACGATCTATGTCGGCTTTTTCAAATTAGATACAAACCAGAAGCAAATGTACACATGATCCTCCCAAATGATATCATAGAACTGGACTTGGCCTTCAGGAAAATTCTGCCTTGCCTACACACACGCGTGTGCACACATACACCCAGGGCTCTTGATTTTTTGGCTATGGATTCTGGCTGACAATTCTGTTAAGTTGTTTCTGGAGATAACAGGTTGGCCCATTGGTCTTTGTGACGCTACTGGTAAAGGCCACTGGAGAGGTGGCAGTGACCCCAGTTCTTGTTGACACTTGCCTTCCTTAAGCCCTAGGGAAGTCTAGCAGAGGATGCCTCTATTAAGCAGAAACTAAATAATGGGAAT